GGTTCAAAGTGGGAAGCCACTGACAGGTCAAACACGAACTCTGCAGTCAAAAAAAAAGCTAGGTGTAATTCCTAGATCTCAATTAAATACCTGTTTTCAAAGTTTATTTTAATAGCATTGTCAAGATATAATTTGCGTACCATACAATTCACCCACTTAAAACTTACAATTCAACGGTTTCCATTATATTCATAAATTACCACAATCATTCTGAAAACAACTTCATTACTTCAAAAAGAAACACCATTCCTCCAATCTTCCCTCCAGAGGTAAGCATCCACTTAATCTCCTTTTTTGCTGATTTGTTTATTCTGGACATTTCATATAAATGCAATCATAGAATGTGGTCCTTTGTGGCTTCTACTACTTATAATGTTTTCAAGATTCAGTGATGTTATCAATATTTTGTTTCTTCTTATTGCTTTCATTCATTCATCAGTCCTTGCTCATTTTGAGCTATTTCTGCTTTTTGGTTATATGAATAATGTTATGCCAACAGCTTTATCAGTTTCAATTATCCGTGAAACAGAGATACTAATTCTCACACAGTTTAATGTACATAGAGTGGCACAGCGTAAATGTGCAAGAAATAGTACAGTAGCTCCATTCCCTCTACTTACCACACTTTCTGGGTAAACTAAAGGTTCTTAAATTAGTATCTTCACCTAACGGTACTGTATCTTCTACCCAGCAATACATCATTCTGTTATCTCAGGAGATTCCACATTTCTTTCAGATTCTTCCTATTTTCCTAAGAGAACTCGGAGGCTCCCTTTTCTCAATATCTATGTTTTACTCAATAGACGCTGAATTCCTATTATCTTGTCTTTTGGTTATGTTTCTACTTACACAAAGTTTCAAAGAACCATTTTACAAGCCTCTTTTTCTTTCCGTTGAGTCTGTCTCTGTCTTACACTCCATCTGGACAGGTGTTACCTCAAATCCACAGCACAAGGTAGGATTTTACTATCTGTCCACTCCCCCTCTTGCCTAGTTCCCATGCTATCAAGACTGTCATGGGGCTGGGGATTTAGCTCAGCGGCAAAGCGCCTGCCTGGCAAGTGCAAGGTCATGAGTTCGGTTCCCGGTACCAGAGAAAAACAAAAACAACAACAACAACAACAAAAAGACTGTCATTACTGTCAACCTTTTCTTCCCTCATAAACGCTGATGTAAAGCACCATGCTATCTTGGAAATTATTTACACAACCCAATTTGCTACCATTCTTCATACCAATGGATTTACATGCCACTACGATTTTAAACATCCCCAAACCATGGTAGGGGGGTAGTGGCCTATAATCCCAGCTACTGGGAAGGCTGAAGGACCACAAGTTCAAGGCCAGCCTAGAGAGACTGTACAGTGAGACGCTGTAAATAGGAAAACGTTTAGGAGAGGATGTAAGTTCTATGCTAATACTGTCATTAAAAAAGCCAACCATTTTAATCTTGAAAAACAAAATGTCGACCTTACAATTATTTTTAAAAGGATAATTCGATATTCTTCCTTATTTTTTCATCTATTTATACTATTTAGTGTCTGCTTTATGTTAGCCACTGTCCCAGTTACTAATCTGGATTTTTAATTTTATGCACAAGGACTGCGTAACTCTTGAACCGTGTTAACTCAACAATTTCTGTTCTTTGTTCAACAAGTTGGAGTAAGAAACACTAATGAGATGTTACTCCTCTTCTACTACTAGACCATAATTACTTTCAACACAGCGACGCCAGACAGTGTCGGTTCTTCCTGCCGGGCGGTTTCACTCCGTCCCTAATCTGCCAGGCCTAGGTCTGGAGAATTTTTATTAAAGTCGGGGATGATGCGGCAGATCATCACTACCCAGCAAGGAGGCAGGGAGCTGTCACGGCTACAGATCCGATCACTGAAACGGTCCCGTCTCAAGAACTTCTTAGCAAGCAGGCGTCTTAGGAATAATGGAGGGAGAGCCTGTCTAACCGTGAAGCTTTTTTTAAAAGGACACTGGAAAGACACTGGAAATCCTCCTCGAGACACGAGTGAGCAGCCTCTGCAGACGGAGCGCGCGGAGGCGGCGGCGCACGGACAGACACAAAGCGCGGCGGTGCCGCGTCGAGACGTC